GGAGCTCAGGAAAATGACAGGATATGCACAGAAAGCACCTTGAGGTGCTCCTGACCCAGACAGCGACAACAGCACACACTAAGGACCTTATCTCCTTCAGTCCTCACAGTGATCACTTCAGTGAGGAGGAAATTCAGGTAACAAGGAAGAGAGCTGCTCATCCAAGGTCTGGGGTGTTGACTGCGGAGCTGATATCCTTTAGCAACTTGGCAATACTCCAGGAGCCAAGTCTGTCTGGGGTAGATTAGGTCACCGAATTTGGCAGGCAGGAATGGGATAAAGCATCTTAAGCAAGTATCATGGGATGAGTGCTCAATAAATGATGATAATTTGATAAGTGATAATAAATTGAATGAAGGCAAGATTAGGGCTGATTCCTGAGCTCCCTGCTAGGAGCTGTGACTTGGGCAGCCCCCATTCTCCATTCATGCACGTCACAGGGAAGCTCCAAGCAAGGACTCTGAATGTCTACTAGGCTCCATTTCCACCTTTGCTCCTGAAAGAGTGGGGACACAAGGACCACCTATTGGGCATTAAAACTGGGGTTTTGTAGGGGCACCTGGGTGGCTCAGTGGGTTAAGCATCTGCCTTCGGCTCAGGTCGTGATCCCAGGGTCCTGGGATCAAGCCCCACATTGGGCTCTCTGCTCAGCGGGGAGCCTGCTTCTCCCTCTCTCTCGTTGTGCCTCCTCTCTGCCTCTCTGCCTGCTTGTGATCTCTGTCAAATAAATAAATAAAATCTTTTAAAAAAATAAAATAAAATCTTAAAAAAATAACAAAACTGGGGTTTTGTTGGATGCCTGGTGGGCTCAGTCAGTACGGTCTGTGACCCTTGATCTCAGGGTCGTGAGTTCAAGCTCCACGTTGGGTGTAGCGATTACTTTAAAAAATAAAAATATTAAAAACAAAACAAAACTGGAGTTTTGTATAGCATTTCTAATTAGCAATGCAAGATCAGTGCAGAAACTCGGTAGGGGAGAGGTAAAAAATTAAAATTCTGTCATTTCAGCACCTACAGAGAGGTACTGTTAACATCTGGGAATTTGCCCTTTCAATATTTTTACGTAGGTCAACAGATTTTCATTAAGTTTTGGGTATCCATGAAGTCTTATGGGTTAGGAAAAAAAAAGATTGTTAGCAGTGCCATCATGTCCAATAGCACAAGTCCTGTACTGTACAATGGCAGTGTGATTGTGCAGTGCACAACCTATGCAGACAAACAAAACAGCCCTTGCTCTTAGCACATGGTTAATTCAGTAGTCCTAACCTTTACTCCTCCTTAACATGTCAAGAGTGTAACACTCTTTTTGGAGATAATCCTGGAAAGAAAAGGAGAGATGAAGGACCATGCCATCTTCCAGAGGGAGCAGATCATGTGTTGGGAAGAGGAGCATTTCTTTTCCAGAAGTAATCTAGAAAAGGAAACCTAGATGATCTGATATGCAACTCCCCCCTTACAGTGATTCATTAATCTTGTCCCAGATGGAGGGAAACTGAGAGAAATTTACCCAGTCATACAGCTAGAAAGTAGTTGGTGTCAGGCAGAACTTGAACCTAGGACAATCCCTGACTTCATCTAGCTCTACGAGAATGGAAGCAGAAAGATGTAGGTTTAGATCTCAGCTCTTTTACTTACTAGCTTTTCACTTTTGAGATGTCATCTCTGAGTCAGTTTCTACACCTGTAAAATGAGGGAATAACTTCCTCATGAGGTTTATGTGAAAATTAAATGAGAAAAAAAAGGTCTTTCCAAACAACGATGGAATGCTACGTGCCAGGCACAGCCCAGTGCACCTCACACACACCATCTCATTTCATCCTCGCATGACCCTCACTCTTCAGTTGAGGAAACGGAGGCGCAGAAAGTCTAAGTCATTTGCCCAACATGACATCTGGGGCTGGGATGTGAACCCGGATCTGCCAGACTCACACCAAATAAACCAACACTACCAGCTAACACAGATAACTCTCAGCAGTGTTTCCCACATACAAAGAGCAAAATAACAGCCACCATTGTTTACAATTGCTATCGTGCATATATAATTGTTATGTCACATGTGATCAGCTGGTCTCTGTTTTCACCCTCCTCAGCCAAAATTTCCAAGAATTGGGCCGATCCAAAGAGAGGAAGAGATGGCAGCCCAGCCTAGCCCTGGGCCATACCCATACTACATAGGAAGACAAAGGGGGTGGGTGCAATGCTGGGGTAGTGTCTCTCTCAAACCCTGGCATCTCTCATTCATTTAAGGAAGGGCTGGGACAGTCCATGCTTCACAACTGGGAGCCATAGCTCCTGCTTAGGGGTCTGGCAACCTTGTAAACAGTCCCCTGGTATCCCTATTTATCCAAGAGCACTAATCCCTCCATCCCATCCAGGGTGCCTTCCTGTGTTTGGAGACATGGGACCCTTCTGCCCCGTGATCTGGGCCTCTGCTAATCTCTGCAGATGGGTGCGGGTGATTAAAGAGGCAAAACCCAGAAGCAGAGAGAGAGAGAGAGAAGACCCATTTAAAAAAGTCCAGCGAGCACAGACACGTCGCCTGGAATCCCAGCCTCCATCTGAGCCCAGCCAACATGAGTCACCTCCATAGCCCTTTACCTGTGAGTTGCAACACAGCTGACAGAAACTCCCAGCCTCCCAGGAGGCGGGCAGACACGTGTGCCATCCATGGGGCTACAGTGAGCTCTGCAGTTACAGCTGGCACCCAGTGGCTCTCCTGCCACCAATAACATCTGTGAAGTGGTTGGACACCAGGCTCTGCTCTTGGATCAAATCCCAGCCCTAGCTCTACCACTTCTAAGCTCTGCGGCTTGAATGACTCACTTACTCACTTTGTACCCCAGTTTTCTTGGCTCTAAAACAAGGATCACCACAGTGCCCATCTCATAGGGTCGCTGGGAGGAGTACATGAGACACTGCGAGTCAAGGCGCGGCACGATGCATGCTACCCGGTGCGCTGAGCACCGGCTGTCTGCCAGACACTGTAGTCGGCACTGGAGGTTCACCAGCGGGCAGGACAGACAAGGTCTTTACTCTTATGGAGTTCACATTCCAAGAGAAGGGGAGACAGACAATGAACAATTAGAAAAATATCAGAAAGTTTTAAGAGCTTTGCAAGGAACCCAGTGAAGTGGTGTGATACAGTGACTGAGTGTTTACTTTAACAAGGGCCTCTGGGAAGCCCTGCTCTGAGCTGGTGGCTTTATTAGCAATTACTACTACTATTTACTGTTACTTGTCAGGGCCCCCTTGGCTGCCACACACACAGAGCCTCCAGTGAGAAGCCAACCTCTGACAGTTCTCAAACACTTCTCCATAGGCCTACCCACCCCCACCCCGCCCGCCAAGAGGGCTCTCCTGTGGATTCTGACTTTACCCTGAAAACCTCCATCATATTGGCAGGAGTAGCTGAAACCTCACCCTTCCCTGAGAGAGAAAGGAGTGGGCCAAGGTGAGGCTCCCAGGAAGACAGAGCAAAGAGATAATTTGCTAAAAGGGAAGAGGGGGTGGGCAGAGAACAGAAAGAGAGAGGGCAAAAACAGATACCAAGATCTCTGGCTTAGATTTAATTTCAAATTAATCCTGGTGGAAGCTCTAAAAACAGCTCTAGCATTCTCCTACTTGTATTTGTGGATCTTTTGGGTTTACCAACCTTGTTCTTTACACAGGCAGCTCACAGCAATTATTCTATAATTTCTTAGTCTGACAGGTATCTGATTCTCCTGTGTTTCCAATGAGGAAGAAAGCACTTATTAGAGGGTGAAAGGACCAGTTAGCTAAGGCTTTGGAGGTGGCCGGCTTCAACCCTTCCATTCCTTCTGTGTTGACCAGAGGCATTTGGTTTGCTCATATCTCATTCAGATCTGTATCACACCAAATAAAGGGCTGCTTCCCACCCTACCCCCAGCCGCCCCCCTGCCACCAACACACACACACACACACATGCACGCACACTCCAAATTATAGACTCTTCCAGAACAGTGATCCTTGGGGCGTCTGGGTGGCTCAGGTCATGATCCCAGGGTCCTGGGATCCAGCCCCGCATCGGGCTCTCTGCTCAGCGGGAAGCCTGCTTCTTTCTCTCTCTCTGCCTGCCTCTCTGCCTACTTGTGATCTCTGTCAGATAAATAAATTAAACAAACAAACAATCAAACAAAAACCAGTGATCCTTGTCTTCTCGGCCTCTGTCTCCTCCAAACCCAGAAAAAGGCCTGGCACACAACAGGTGCCCCATAAATGTGCTGAACTGAGGCCGCTCACAGCCAGTCAGTGGAGATGACCGAACGAACAGCCAGACGAGATGACTGAAGATTCAGATCTGGGCTCCGAACTCACTAGCTTTGCCCTTGGGCAAGTAAATTGACCTCTCCAGCCTCCATTTCCTCACCTGTAAGGTGTGTGGGGAAGGAAGGGGTGCAGTACTATCTACCACAATGGGTTACTGTGAGAATCCAAGAACTCACCTGAATAACTGTAAAACATTATTCAGAAAGAAGCTATTAATATTTTAAGGGGAAAGCTCTGAAAAAGAGAATGGACGCTTACACAGAGACAACTCTTCCCCAGCCAGGGGCCTGGGGGGTGTGGGGAAGGGTTGGGGGATCTCTTCTCTCCTTTGACGATTCCCCAGTGGCTGTGAAGTAGTTGATGGTGGATAGAAAATGGGGCAACAAATTTGGCGGGGTGGGGGTGGTATTCCTGAGTATCCGGGATACTAACTAGAAACAGAAATCGAGATTTCCTTTAGCCAACTATCTGTCTCTGTACTTTTCCTCTAGCTATCATCTCTCCAACATTTTTTTCCGCCCTCCCCGCTCCCTGATCTCCTCCTCCCACCCCCTCACCTAGGAAGGAATTGGCCAGCTCCACCCAGCCAGCCCCCTTGGCTCCACCCCCAACGCGGCAGGCCAAGAGTTAACAGCTGCACCTGTTGAGGCATACCTGCTGTCGCCGGCACCTGTACCCACAGCCAATCAGCACCAGCACTGCCGGGAACCTACCTGTCAGCAAAATCCGGACACTCAAACCTCAACATAAATCAAACACTTCCCTGGGCAGGGAATGTCTATGTCAGGCAAGAATTAAGAGACAAGCGGTCAGTCAGCAGAGCCTCGGTGCTGGTGCGCGTCTTCGTCTGGGAGCCTGGGAGCCTGGGAGCCTGGGAGCCTGGGAGCAAGAAGATGTCGAATGAACTTGAGTGAGTAAACATTGGTGGATGCCTGGTGCTCTCTGAGCGTGGAGGCTCGATGGGGTTTCCAAAAGGGGGAAGCGCAGGGAGGCCGGCGCCAGGATTCACAGAGCAATTTGTAAGGGTAAATGAATGGGCTGACGATTTCACTTTGGCGTGCTGAGGCAAGCCCTATCTCAAGCTAGAGGTGAATGTTTCCCTGGGAAAATAGGTTGGTTCCCCCCCCCCCCGCCCCTGTCTGCTGAGCAGTTTCGAGCCAGGTAGGGAAACACGGGACTGAAACTGTGAAGGCTTTCGGCACCTCTTTCTGATACCATGAAGGGACTTGGAAATCAGAGACCGCCCCAATCCCATCTAGGCTTTCTATCTTCTTGCCAAAAGGAACTTCTTTGAGGGCGTTCTAAGAACTGTCTTAGGCAGAGAGTTGGGTTTCTCTAAAGTGACTTGTTTGTTGGGTTGGAACAGTCCCAAGTGGGAAGGTTAGAGTGGTGTTTAAACATATGCCCTCTGTAGTAAGCCTGACCTAAGTCCAAACCAAGACTCTGCTCCTTTTGGGGCATGTGATCTTGGACAAGTCACTCAACTTACTGGAGCTTCACCTTCCTCATCCAGAAAATGGGTATAAGAATGCTTTGGAGGAATCCTGGGAGAGTTAAGTGTGATAAAAGCTGTAAAATGCTAGGCACAGAGCCAAGGTCTGAAGATACATTGATAAAATGAGGTTGATTTTATTCAGAGGCAGTTCTAAGGCTGGAGAAGCTGAGATGTGGTTTTCAGTGAGGTCATCTTTATTGCCTGGCAGGATGCAGGTGCCTTCATTCCCGTATCTGGGATTTAGACTCTCCACTGGCTGATGCTGACTTTCACCACAGACCCCCTGGTTTGGATCCAGACCTCAGAGAAGGTGGTATGAGGTTGGGATTCTGGGCTGCTTTAGCTTGGGCTCAGGGAGTTGGGAGAAGCCAAACTACTAAAACACAGACTCTTCTCCTCTTGCCATGCTCAGAGGTGTGTGGGCAGAGATAAGGGTTAAACGATCTTTTTTTCTAGCTATTCTTCAATAGGTTGTTTTAAGAACATGAGACCTAGGACGCCTGGGTAGCTCAGTGGGTTAAGCATCTGCCTTTGGCTCAGGTCATGATCCCAGGGTCCTGGGATGGAGTCCCACATCAGGCTCCTTGCTCGGCGGGGAGCCTGCTTCTCCTTCTGCCTGCTGCTCCCCGTTTGTGCTCTGACAAATAAAATGAATAAAATCTTTAAAAACAAACAAACAACAACAACAACAACAAAATCGTGAGACCAGAGGGGGCTGTTGGTGGGTCCTAACTGCAGACAGTGTTCCATGATACCAGCTAGTTCTTGAGTCTAGGTTAGCCGACTATGTTCATAGTACAGTCACTGGGCATTAGATTTCTCTTGAACAAATTCCCTGGGGTTGACAACGTGTTGACAACTAGAATAAGAGCAGGGGCACTGGAGGCAACAAGTAGGTTGAAGCCCCGACTCTGCCACTAATGAGCTGTGTGACCTTGGGGAAGTCACTTCACCCAAGTCTCAGTTTCCTCACTTGTAGGCTGTGGGCCATAGTGCTACCCACCTCATGGAGTCGTTGGGGGATCCAACGACCACTTTAGAAAAGTGATTGGTTTAAAGCCCGGTAGGGAGCAAGCTAATAATACCCTTGTTACTTCATACAGAAATAACCAGTGAGCATTTCTGAACCTCTTGCTTTCTATTTCTCCACACTCTGAAAACAGGCAAAAATCTTAGGATGTGTCTTCATCCCACTTCGATTCCCTGGTTAAAACTGCAGAGGCTACAGACAGAATGTTTTCTTTGGTGGCCCTCAAGGGGTAAGCCTCCTGAAGCTGGGTTACTCCAACAGAAAGCTTCCTGATTTTCTCCTCCTTAATGATTTGGGTTTTGAAGTCAGATCCGCTGACAGCTGAGGCTTCGCCGTTTGTGGTGGGGTGAGGGGAACCTATCCCCGCAGAGTAATTGCAGACAGACTCTGAAGCCACCATTTGAGATTACAAGGACAGAGCCTCAGGGCCTGGGGGCTCAGCTACCCTTACGGATAAGTGGGGGGTGGGGGGAACAAGTGCTTGGCTTGCAAGTTTTGAGCTGCTCCTGTTGGTGTTGCTGTTGCCGCTGTCTTGGCTGTCGAATTCCCCCCAGAGTGCCGAGTGAAGTGGGTTGGTCCCCGCGTCCATATAGAGCTCCGACAGAATGATGAAATCTTGCTAGGCCTTGGTGTGGTGGGAAATGCCAGGCTTGCATAGGGCTAAATTCTGCCATTTAGCAACCCCAGGGTCTGGTGAATTTATTTCTCCTCCCTGGCCCTCACTTTCTTCCTCTGTCCAATAGGGGATATGCACACCTACCTGGCAGGGGAAACAGTGTGCTCCCACTCGTGGGCCACCCGGCCCCGGGGCTGGAGCTCCTTAAGGACAGCCCGATCCCTATGCCTGAGGAGGAAGGCGGCCCTTCATCAAGATGGCCCGGTCCTAGGGTGCATGGCGGCGGCGTCAGAACCCAGCTAAAGGCAGCTGGCGGGTGGAGCGCTCTGCCTTTCATGTGGCTGGGCCCAGCGCCTGCCGGGTGCGTCTGCCAGCCTCTGGGCCAACGCAGCACGCCTTGGCTGCCGCCAGCCAGCACCGTCGGCTGCCCCGGGGCTAGAGACGCCCGCAAGGGATCCTGGGGGGGCGCCGGAAGTCGCTCTAGTCCCGTGTGGCTGTCTTCTCGCGGGAAAACAGCCCGCGCCTGCGCGCTGCCTACAAGGGTCTCTTGGGGCGACGTGCCGGCACGCTGGGGTCTTAGAACAGTTTCTGTGGGTCTTCCCGGCACCTCTGGAGTTACAAATAGAGTGGTGCTCCAGGACCTACTGTGTGCTAGGCGCAGCAGCGCTGGCTAGCTCCTCCTGGGAGGAAATGAGGGGCTGAGAGAGTAAGTGATCCGCACACAGTAGGTCTATCGAGTGGAAGAGAGAGAAGTGAGTGAGGCACGCCAGGATTCCCCTCTACAGTGTGGCTCAGTCTGCAGACTGGGAGCCTACCCGCCGCCTGGAATCTCCTTCCCCAAAGCCTTGGAGAGACAGGACTGAGGCTGGGAGGGGGTACAAGGAACGTCCCAGTGGGTGACCACAGGCCTTTGTCGCTGCTTCATCTGATCTCCAGGAGTGCCAGGCTCCAGACTGCCTGGAGCGCTGAAAGAGTTAACCAGGAACGCCTCCCCGCTGTGGTTTTGTGGTCGAAACCATGATTGCCAGGAGCAAATTTTTGTCGTGCACAAGGTGTGTTATTAAAAGTCGGAGTTACGCTGCTGGTGAATGAAAAGTTAAAAGCCCTCATTAAGCTCCGCCTGTAAAACAGGCGGACTGGGGCTGAGACAACCCTAACGGCGGAGACTTGGGGTGCAGGACACTGCTGAGGTTCCTGCCACTGCACTGGCTGCTCTGGCCAGTGAAGTCCTGGTCAGGTACCTGGAGCCACACAGAGTTTGATGGGGGTCGGGGGGGGGGGGGCGTTGTGATCAACACAGAGGAAGGCCAGCCGGAGGAAAGGCAACGGGTCTGAAACACAAATAGCATATACTGGAAGCTTTTCCTTTGGTTGAAAGAAATAACAACCAAGCATTGATTGAGAGCTGACTCAGTGTGCAGTGCTTGATAAATACATTATCTCCTTTAACCTTCCCGAAGATCCAGTGAGGATGGGAGTATAAATTCAGTTTTGCCAAGGAGGGCTAACAGAGACTTGCCCCAGGCTTGCTCACGATCTCAGGAAAGAGCTGAGATCTTAACTGGGTCTTAACCGAGGAGCTAAAAAGATGCTCTACACCAATATGTCATCCTACCTCCTATCTGTACAGATACTGAAAAAAGATGAGATATGCCAGCTGTTAACAGTGGTTATCCGAGTAGAGGAAAGCAGGTGAATCTAGCTCTGCTTCCAGTTTTTCTCTCTGTTTTACACTTTATATATTGTGTTTTCCATACCTATGTTACTTTTGAAATGGGGAGGATGAGGAGAGGGAGTTACTATTTTTCAAAGAGAGAATTATCTAAAATTCATCTAAAGTTCATCTAAAAATGGTGTTCTCCAAATGTGGTTCCTGGACCAACAGCATCATCTTCACCACCTGGGAACTTGTTAGAAATGCAAATTCTCAGCCTCACCCTAGACCTACTGAATCAGAAATTCTGGGGGTGGGGCTCAGCAATATGTGTTTTAACAGGCCCTCCAGGCGATTCTGATGCATGTTCAAGTTTAAGAACCATTGGCCTAGAAGACCTGGCAGAGGATTGGGAAGCAGGAGGTTCCCAGATCCTCTTCTGACCCACCACGTAGTTGCTGGGTCAGCAGGCTGTGGGGGTCACCCTTGTGTTTGAGCCTAGCTCTGCCACATGTGGACCAGGACTTTTGGATAAGCTCCTTAACCTCTCAAGGTGTCAGTGCTGTGTGTAAATTGGAGCTAATACCTACCCCCCACACAGGGCAAATATGAGAATGAAGAGGCCTGATGCTTTTATTTATTTATTTTTAATTATTTATTTATATGAGTAGGAGAGATAGCGAGAGCGCATGAGGAGTGGGGAGGGGCAGAGGGAGAGGAAGAAGCAGACTCTCTGCTGAGCAAGGAGCCTTACTGCTTGGGCACCCCCCCCCCCCAATGTGGGGCTAATCCCAGGACCCTGAGATCATGACTTGAGCCTAAGGTAGACACTTAACTGACTGAGCCCCAGGCCGCCTTGGGCCTGCTGCTTTTAAATAATAGTTCCCTTCCCTTCTTCCCCTGTCTTCCTTCCCCTCTCAAGAGCTCAGTGTTTGCAAAATGGAGCATCATAATCCTGGCTAGCTGTCTCCCTCCATTCCTTTCATCTTCTAAAAAGTCAGAGCAACTGACCTAGTGAATGTCCTGAAGGGAAATTATCTCAGCAATGTTTGGTGTTATTTCCCTGGTGGGTGGAGCGCCTGGGTGGCAAGAATTGGAAACTCTCCAGGGCAGGGACAGCATGGTATTTACATTTCTGTCCTAGTACCCAGCACAGGGCCTATTACAGAGTAATCCTCAGTGAATGTTTGTTGAATGAATCAGTGAGTGAATGAATGAAGGGATGTGGCACCCTGGGTTTATAGGTGGATTTCAATTTCTTTCACATCTCACTTGAAAGAGAGGGGAAAAATAAACACAGGAAAATTGGACAGGAAACCAAAAGAAGAGCAGAGCATGAAAGAAGAATTCTCATAGAGAACTGAGTTTTTCAAAGAGGAGAAAGTGAGTTTCTGGTATAATTAGAAAATAGCACATAATTAATTTACATGCAACTAGAAGTGTTGGCTAGGGCCTGACTGCCCTCACCCTGCCCACCAAAAGCCAGATGATGAATGTTTGCCCCTCTTCTCTGGGAATCTCCAAGCTTCAGTTCTCCTGCTGCTGCTAGGAAAAGCTTCTCCCACCCATTTACAGGTGGGAGAAGGTGAGGCTGTGAGTTGTCATGCAATTTGCTGGGGGCTACCCTCCAAAGTGAGTTTTAGTAATAATAATAATAATTCACATTATCACGGGCACTCTGCTGATTACTTGTATTATCTCACTGCATTTTCCAACAGTAATACCTCACAAAGCTGTAAAGATGGAGTGAAACAATGACTAGACATTGTTGGGCCAGCACCCAGTACTTGGTAAGCCCTCAAGTGAATAGCAGCTCTTGTAAGAATTCTGTGAGTTTAGTACTCCCATCTTTCCCTCTCTTACAGGGAAGAAAGCCAGGGCACAGAGAGGTCAAGTTGCATAAAGTCACACAGCTCGTAACAAGCAGAGCTGAAACTGGAACCAGGTCTGTGAAGCTCTGGGGCCCACCAGGTAGCCAGGAGCTCCCACTACCTCATTCAAAGTGGAGGTGCTACAGAGCCAGGACCTAGAATGGACTCCACCATGTTTCTGCCGAGGCCCCCAAAGGGCCCCCAGCCTGCGACTAAGCACATTTCACAACCTGGGCGTCCAGAAACCAGATGGGTCACTGGCAAGCACGAGAACCCCGGAGCGCTCCCGTCATGCCTAGGGAACACCTTGCATGGGGCTGACTGAAAAATGATTCTTCCGGGAGCGGCTGTGGCAGGGCCTCCCGTGGGTAATTAGTGAGTGTGATTGATCACTGCTGAGGAGGCTGGGTGGCTCATGACAGGGTATGGCAAGTTATTGGGTGTATCTGGGTGTCAACACCCAGTTCGGGTGGCCCCTGGAACTCTTCCTCCTCAGGCTGGAGGGAAGTGAGACCCAGCTCACTAGATCTGTCCTGTGCCAGGCACTTTGTTTGGCGGGACTTGAGCCCCCCCCAACCCCTCCTTGGTAAGTTTCCTTCTCCCTTCAGCAACACTGAGAAAGAGTCCTTCCTTTTACATCTCTGAATTTTTGACATGCCTTTGGGATAGGGCAGTGATTCAACTTGGTACCAGATAGGAAGCTAAAAGACTCAAATCTCAATCCTGCTCTATGCTGTGTCCTTAGGCAAAGTCACACCTTCTCTGAGAAACAAGAGTTTGAAAGTCCCTTTGCACCCTACATGGAACCCAAAAGTCCTCAAATGATGGATGAGACACATTTACTTCGTCTCACTGGGAGTTTCAAGTGGCGCTCAGCCAGAAAGCTGTGGGCATCGAGAGTCCAACAGGACTTGAGATGAAACCCACTTCACCACCCTGGGCTTCCTCCATCCTGGTGCCCAGAATGATACATGGTAGAGTCAGGAGGCCAAGAGTCTGGCTGGGTGTGGAACAGCTGTTACCACACCCCTCCCGTGCTGTGGGCCCAGTGAGCTGCTGGAGCAAGGCCCCACCCACATGAGAGCCCCTGCATAGGCGGTTTGCACATCCCCACAGGCTTGAGACAGAGACCTCAGGAAGGGAGGCTTATCAGCTCAATGTTCCAGCTCCTCTCTCATGATCTTGGATTTAACTCTCTCCCAAATAGAGGAGAAGCTGGGCCAGAGAGGCTCTGAGGGCACAGTCTGGAGAAGGTTCTTGATGCTAGAAACCAGAGACCTTTGTTCTAAGCTTGATGTCATGAGATAGTAGCTGGTTGGCCTTAGGCAAGCCAGTGGCCCTCTCTGTGGCTCAATTTTTCCTGCTATCACATGGGGGAGAGTCATACGATCCCTCCCTACTTTACAGGGGCGTTGCAGGATCAGAGGTGATGACAAACGTATGAGAAGCATGTTGAAAAATACAACACGCCATGCAAATGTGAGGGATTATCAAATCTCTGACTTGAGTTTCCTCCTTAGGGGGCTGGCCTTCCTCGAAACAAACAATGTATGCAAAAACCCTGGCACACAGTAGGTAGGCAAGCTCTGGGAGCTGTCCCAGGCTTATGCTTTGGATCCTGCTGCTCCTCTCCTCTGGAAGATCCAAGGTCCTCCCCACCTACCTCTCTGCTCTCTTTCCCCCTGCAGTCCTCTTCTTGACCACACCCCGTCACTCCCCAAAGTTCAGGCAGGTCAGCCTTCTGCTTCCTTTCCTTCATAGCTTTCTTCACCTATCTGACCTTAGCTGTTTGTTTGTTTTTGTGGTCACGTCTGTCTTGCTGTTATTAAAAATGCAAACAGCATGACATTGGGGCTGACCTTCTTGTCTTGTTGGCCCAGGACAAGGCCTGGCATATAGTAGTTACTTGACAAATAATTGT